CCCAGATGTATCACTCAGGAGGGTCAGGGGGCCAGACAAGGCTCCAGCAGCTCATAATTATATTCAGTTTGTGATAACTGTACCCTTCCCTTGCAATCAGCTGGCCAAAAACCTGGTGAAGCTTCTCCCTTTCCTTTTCCTCCTCCCCCCAACACTTCTGCCTCCCAAGATTCTTTACTCCTTCCTTCCAGCCTAGATAACTGCACTTCCCATTATCTACTTTAGGCTATTTTTCCAAAACAAACTGCCCCATGCTGGCCACAACTTTTCTACATGTTTTGTCTTCACCTTTTAGAATGAAAGTTAAAAATTGAGACCGTCCTTGAATTTGTATTTGCATACTCAGTGTTATCACAGTTTGGGGCAAATCATAATTTCTTGTCGTTGTTTAGTCAATTAGTCATGTCTGACTCTTTGTGATCCCATTTGGGGTTTTCTTGGCAAAGATATTGGAGTGGTTTGCCATTTCCTTCTCCAGCTCATTTTATGATGAGAAAACTGAAGCAAACAGGGCTCAGGGTTAAGTGGTTTGCCCAGGGTCACACAAACTACTAAGTGTCTGAAGCTGGATTTGAACTCAGGTCCTCCTTACTTCAGGGCTGCACTCTATCCACTGCACCACCTAGCTGCCCAGCTAAATGATTTATGACACAGTCCCTTTTGTTGTTATTGTTTAGTCATGTCAGTTGTGCCCAACTCCTTGTGACCCCATTTGGGGTTTTCTTGGCAAAGATACTGGAGTAGTTTGCCATTCCCTTCTCTAGCTCAGGAAACTGAGGCAAATGGTTAAGTAGCTTGCTGAGGGTCACACAGCTAGTAAGTGTCTGAGGCAAGATTTGAACTCAGGAAGATGAGTCTTCTTGACTACTCACTATGCCACCTAGCCGCCCCAATCATAATTAATAAATAAATGTTTTCTCATGCCTGGCACATAGTGGCACTGAATAAACACTTACTGGCCTCATTTATTATACTATGTACCTCATGGGTTGCAAGGGAAGTGCTTTATACATATAATTTTAGGACATGGCCAATCCAAGAATTTTTTTTGCTTGACTAACCATATTTGTCACAAGAGTTTTCCCTTTCTTTTCTCAATGGGGGAGGGGGGAAGGAGGTGAAATGGAGAGAAAATAGATTTTTAAGTGAAAAAATAAAATACAAATTTTAAAATGTGCTTTATAAATCATTTCAACAAATTTAATTCAACAAATATTTATTAAGCACGACGTGTAAGGCTCTGTGCTAGGTGCTTCAAACGCCATGGAAATGTGAGTTGTTATTTTAGAGAGTTCCCTGTAAGGGAGCTCCTGCCAATTCAGATTGTTACCACTTCTAAAACTTCCAACTTTAGAGACTTGCTTTTACAGACTTGTTACTGCTAACATTTTAGCATTCTCGATTAACATTTTTTTATGAAGTACATGAAGTCTTGTAAAGCATTTTACTTTTGCTATGGTTTTGGTCCTCAAAACCACCGTGTAAGGTTGCCTTGTTACTATTGTTTCAGTCCATGAACACTAACTCTTGGCATCCCTCTGGCGTCCCCCTATGAGGAAGCAACATGGTGAATTGGAAAATGTGCTGAGACCCGCTTCTGATACTTATTAGCTGTGTGACTGGGGCCAAATAATTTAACCTCTCTATGCCTCAGCGTCTTTCCCTGTAACATGGCGATAGTGATACCTGCAGTATCTATCTCAGGGAGTTGTTGAAGATATGAAGACCTTTACCTCTCTAAAACTCCAAACAAAAAGCAGCTATTATTGTTATTATTATTAAAATATGGGAATTCTCTCTTTGAAAGAGTTCTCCCAGGGGTGGAAAGAAAAGCTCCCCCAGCTACAACTGGCTAAATGTCAAAGCAATCCCAAAGTAAAAGAACATATGTAACATTACAACCAATGGCTCCATCCACAGCGATGGCAATTGTCCAAGAAAGCGACAAGCAAAGGGAAGGAGAAAACCAAAGGGAAATAATGGCTAGAAAACTACCCAAATAATGCAAGCTCCTCAAATAACTTTTAATCACCTGGTAGTTTCAGGAGATAAAATTTTGCTTCAATTTCCTACTTAGCATTTTCTAGGGCTGAAACTTTGCTGAAGTATTGGGAGAACAACCTCACCTGGAGCAATGAGATCTTACCACCTCGCCCCAAGTTATTTCATTTTCAATGGGCCTTGGAACTCTTCCCAGGGCATCATTAGGAAGGACCATGACATAATGTTAAGTGCATGGGCTCAGGAGTCAGTACGCTTGGATTCAAGTCTCAGCTCTGCTATTTGTGTGTCCCTTCTTTGCTGTTGTTCAGTCATTTTTGACTTTTCATGACCCTATTTAGGGTTTTTTTGGTAAAGATATCGGGTTTGCCATTTTCTTCTCCAGCTCATTTTACAATGACTTGCCCAGCTGTGTGTGTCACACAGCCGCAATTGTCTGAGGCCAGATTTGAACTCAGGAAGATGAGTCTTCCTGACTCCAGGCCTGGTGCTCTAACCAGTGAACTGCCTAGCTGCCAACAAGTCTAACCCTCAATCTCCTATACAATTCCTTTACAGTTTCTCTAAAACATGGGTTTTGGACTGGATGTACTCCATGGTTTCTTCTAGTTCTGATGTTTTCTATGGTCATGAAAAATTTCTGCATATGGATAATGCTTTTTGTATGTTTTTTTAAAGGTAGCTGAAGTCAAGAATGGATGAGAAAGGGAGAAAACAGCAAGAATTTTCAGAACTGGCAAAAGCTGTGGTGCATTCATGTAGTTCAAAATGATGCTTCTATTTTGTTGACTAGAAGTGTCTTTACATATCATTTTTAGCCAAGATTTACATTTTTATAGTCTCATTCATTTATTCATCAGATACTTATTGAACACCTACTATATGTAAAATTCTGTGACTTCAATTGTTTATTAAAAATCATGTTGTGAGAAAGCTTTTATGTCTCTTCAGACACATAAGGGCTGAAAATTTTTCACTGAGAAATTAAGAGTTTGTCCTATGGCCCTAGAACCATGGCAGAGCATTGTCCTTATGGGCAAGAACTGATCTAGTGCAACAGCCAGCATCATCATTCTCAAAACACGACTAACTAGAATATACCAGGAATAAGTTGTTTACCTAATTGATGAATGAATTGTTCACCTAATTTTTCTTCTCGTTCATTCATTCAACAAATATTCAGTAAACACCTTGTGTATGAAAGGATCAATAAGAAGCAATTCCTGCCCTCGAGGAAGTTATCATCAAAAGCTTTCTGCTCTACCCCCTTGCTTTTCTAAATGTATTTGTCTACTCTCCTGACTTTGTCATTACAATTGCATCTTTCTTCCACGTGTGGGGATCTTGCACTCTCTCAGAATCATCATTCTCAAATTTGAAATGTCTGCTTTCAGAGTTGGGTAGACGCAGAAGTGGAGGAGTTTGCAAAGACTGAAATCTTGCATACTCTGAAATCTTTCTTTTTTTTTAAGGTGGGGTAACCCGTCAGTTTGTGTTTCTGGCACTTAAACTGTGATGAAATAGAGTACAGACCATATAACTGAAAAATTTGGCTAATTTAGTCATAAATGCTTTTCATGAAAATCTCCCATTTATGCAGTACAAAGGAGGGGGGGTTTTCACCATGAAGCATAAATAAAAGGTTTCAGACTTACCTGGGTAAGTCACTTCCTGCTAGCAGAACCTGTTTCTCTCTATATAAATGTAATTTTATCTCTAAGATCCCTTCCAACTCTGAAAGTCTATGATTCTATGACTGGGGTTGGTTTTTTTTTTCAGTCAGTCCTTGAGACATCACGAGATAGATCCTATTAGAGTAATTGCATTACTGGAATTTGGAAAATGGAGATGCTAGGTTGGAAAGTCCACAGTATGGTTTATTCTTTGTTTCTAAACACATGACTTTTAGGCTGGCAAGTGTAATTTAAAAGAAAAATCCATCCGTACCATTCTGGACTAGAGAATTATTTGGGAACTATATTCATGCCTAGAAGGAGGCAAACACCCACTCACCTCCTAATTCTATTGCCTTGTCCTGAAAAAGGGAGAACAGCTGGTCTGGCTTGGTCTGGCCTAGTCGAGTCTGGCCTTGCTGGGCTCCTGGCCAAAGTCTCTCCCCAAGTCTCTTGGCCTGGTATAAGGAGATGCTTGGATCTACTCACCCCTCTTCCCTCGTTGAATTCTCTTCTCTAGTGTGAGTTCTCCCAAAAAAGCCCATCTGACTTCTTGCACTCAAGCTACTATGTTTTATGGGGAAAAGCCTCTTTTGGGGAGGGAAGAGGGAGGAGGTTGGGGAGAGAAGAAATAGAGCAAGTAGGTAGAATTGAAAAGCATAGTTTCAGAGAACCATTCATGAAGGAACAGGAAGAAACAAAAGTCACTGTTGAGTTTCAGCATGCATTTAATGTCATTCTTTCATTACACTATAGCTTATGTTGCTACGAGGATCCTGTACTGTTTCCCATGTATTTGTTTATTGTTCACTATTGAGATCTTATTTCTGTCAAGATGGGTTACATGACTGGGTTTCCCAGAAAGGCTAATAGCCTATTGCATGAAATGTCACGAACCATGGGGGAAAAGCAGAAGAAATAGTAACCCACTGATTACAGACATAAATCCACACAGAAGAAATAATAACTCTTTGATTACAAAGACATATACAGCTCCCCAAATCTTTACAAGCTGTTGATAATTCATTTCTTTCCATTAATATACTTAACATCAAGAAGCATTCAGGCCCAAAAAAGCATGATTGCATGGTTGATAAGCTCTATGGTGACCAATAAATAAACCATCTAAACAACTAATTCCTGAACTAATTTGCAAGGCAAATCTGGAAAAATATCCCAAATCTCATCCTAGGGGCATCTGGGTAAAGAACAAAAAAAGCAAAGCCTGTCTATTTTCCATAAGCATGTTACTTGGCATCAACTAGCTGTGTGACCTTACCTAAGTCCCTTCCTTTCCCTTCCCTAGGCCTCAGTGACCCATTATGTTAAAAAAAAAACATAAAAAAGAATATCTGTAATAAAAATGATCTCTAAGGTATCTTCCAGCTCTAACATTCTGTTATCGTAAGTGAAGACAAGAATTTTGGAAGCACCTTATTCCATACAAATATTGAACATGTTCAATGTTTAAAGAGTCTCTCGGTCATTTAGGAAGAGCTGGAAAAACTTTGTCTTCAAGGACACTGGGCAAGGTTAGCTTTCATGCAAAACTAATGGTTCAAGCAATTAGTAAAATACACACAATACCACAAATAGGTTTCGTATTTCTTAGTCCGTATATAGATAATCAAGCAGTTCTACATGCCACATGATTCCTGAGAGTTCAAAAAGAAATTGTTGCCAGTCCTCCATCTTCTCCACATCATGTGTTATAAATTCTTGAAGCTCTTTTGGCTACAGTTTGGGAATCAGATGCATCTTCTTCTTCTTCCTCAGTTCGTTTGTGTTTTAAAAATAAATCCGATTTTAAGAAGCGGCTGTAGCTGTCATACTTCATGAGATTAAAAATCTGAGGAGTGAAAGAAAAAAAAAGGCTGAAGACTGTAAGTGACTGAGACAACAAATGAATCAACAAATATTTAATCTAGCACTACAGCTATTTGTGCATGCATCCCATCTACAGCTCATTTATGGCTCAGGAAGGCAGGGGCTAAGTCTTAACTAAATTTTATATCTCCCCCAGTGCTAAACACAAAACTTTGCCCACAGTGGGTGCTTAAGAGATGCTTGATCAGCTGAAATGCAGCATCTTTCATCTGCCTTGCTTGTGGGGCACTGTGGAGCAGTCACAGACTTCCACATGACTAATGCCACCTTCCATTCACATAGCAGTTTAGAGTTTTTCAAAAGCCTTTAGTATTCACTATCTGCTTTAACATTCAAAGCTACCCTGGGAGGTAGGCAGGGCAGGTATCCCCAGCCATTGGAAAAAGGAGAAAACAGAGGTCCAGAGGGTTGAGTGATTTGCTCATGGTTACCTAGCTTCTAAGGCAGCCAGTGGCACAGTGAAGAGAGCTCTGAGCCTGAACTCAGAAAGACCTGAGTTCAAATTCTGCTTCAGACACTTACTAGCTATGTGACCCCGGGCAAGCAACCTCTTGCTTAACCTCTGCTTTTTTCAATTTCCTCACCTGTAAAATGGTAATAATAATAGCACCTACCTAACAGGGTTCATATGTGGCTCAAATGAGATAATATTTATAAAAGCACTTAGGACAGTGCCTGGGACATAGTCGACACCATGTCCCTTCCCTTCTCTTTCTTTCCTAAAGGCCAGAGACAAGACTCGAATTCACACTTTCTGACCTCAAGTCCAATGCTCTTTCTGCATAACTCCATTGTGTCAGGAGACACATTTTCTTCCTCTAGTAAGCTTACAGCCTGGATAGAAAGAAAATACATACACAGAGAAAAAGAAAACTGATACCGCAAGGCAATAAACAGCTTGAGCCAGGCTAAGCAGCTTCCCTGGACACTTTTGGTCAGTATGAATACATTTACCAGAATACAAAGCATTTTCTTTGTTATTGTTGCTGTTCAGTTGTGTCTGACTCTTTGTAATACTGTTTGGGGCTTTCTTGGCAGAGATACTGAAGTGGTTTGCATTTCCTTCTCCAGTTCATTTTATAGATGAGGAAACTGAGGCAAACAGGCTTAAGTGACTTGCCCAGGGTCACATAGCTAATAAGCATCTGAGGCTGGATTTGAACTCAGGTCCTCCTGACTCCAGGCCTGGCACTGTATCCACAGCACCCCCTAGATGCCCACTCTGATACTTGGTAGCTGTGCAAACTTAGGCAAGTCTTAACCTTTCTGAGCCTTAATTTCTAGCTTTAAAATGGGGACATTTAGGGGCAGTTGGGTGGCACAGTGGATGGAGCACCAGTCCTGGAGTCAGGAGGACCTGAGTTCAAATACAGCTTCAGACACTTGACACTTACCAGCTGTGTGACCCTGGGCAAGTCACTTAACCTCATTGCCTAACCAAAAAAAAAAATGGGGACCCCTGTGCCATTTACCTCACAGGGTTGTGAAAATTGAATGATATAATTTATAAAGTATTAAATAATTGCAAACAATAAGAGTATTTCCATGGAGATAAAATCTGCTGGAAAACTTTGCAAACTTTGCAAACTTTAAAGCATTGTTTACACTTCCGATGTTATTATAGCTTTATTTCGCCCAACACTGCAGTACTAAAAAGTCATTTAGTAATTTCTAATTTACCTGGAAAGATAACAGAGGTCTTATTTCACCAAACGTCTGAAAGGGTTTGGGCATTTTAGGATAGAAATCGTGGCCGTAGAAATACTGGTCACAATGTTATTATTATGGTATCACATGACACGATTTCAATATTATGATGATGTCTGAGATTCCAAACATATCTGTGATTTTGCCAAGAAACAATACAGTTGCATATTCAGGGCAGGAAAGCAGCAGTCTTGCCAACGAGAGACTCTCAGGAGGAATTTGGTTAAAAGACAACACGAGAAAGCCTTAGACAGCAAAAAAGTAAGGGGTAAGACAAGCTGTGTCATCTATCTCCATGAAGGAAACCATTCGAATCAATCATTCCATGAAGAGCTAAAAGGATCTTGAATAAACAATGAACAGAAAGAATGTCTAGGGCATTGAGCTCTGATGGAAAGTGCTGGGCTCAAGCTGGAAGGTTAGGGGTTCCAGGCTCTTCATCTCTGCCATTTACTAAGTGAACATCGCTAAGCCTCACCTTCGCTTTTTATTAAAAAAGGAATAGTAATAGTTGCATTATTTGCACCAAAAGTTTGCCCAACAAAAAGGATGGAGAGTGTAAAAGGACAGGTGGAAAGAAGCATTTTCCGGCTGACAAAGGGATGTGGCCCAGAAGGGATTTGAAAATCCCTTTACGAGTGATATCTATCATGTGCCTTTAACCATGGCTTTTGGCACATTCAGTAGGGAGATAACAAAATGAAATTATCATGATGCTGGAGATAATACAAACCAGTTCCTGGCTTCTATCAGTTCACACACAACAAAATGGAATGCTGCCTAAGCTTCTCAGAACTCAAAAATTACAGGGTTGAAACGGCATTAGAGATCATCGAGTCTAACATCGGGTCTTCTGAATGTTTTTGTCTCATGGACCCTTTTGGCAGGCTGGTGAAACTTACCATCCCCTTCTCAGAAAAATGTTTTTGTTTTTCTTTTTATGGATGAAATAAAACAAGCATTTCTAAAACATAGTAGAATTTTTAAAAAATGATTGCATATGAAACTGCAAATCTATTATATACAACTTGCTATTCTATTTAAATATATAATAAAGTTATCATACAAATTTCTTTTTTTTTCTTTTTTTCTCCTGCCCCCCCCATGGCTACCATTAGATACAAATATGTATATAAATGTAAAATCATTCCATACGTACTTCTATTTATTAATTCTTTCTCTGGATGCAGATAGTGTCTTCCTTCATAGGTTTTTTTTGTAGTTAATTTGGTATTTATAATAGTCAAAATGACTCAAAATAATGTTTTAAAATGCATAGGATTACAAAGAAAACTGTTTACATTGAGTTGTCAAAATATATATATTTTTTTAGGCAATTGGGGTTAAGTGATTTGCCCAGGGTCACACAGCTAGTAAGTGTCAAGTGTTTGGTCTGAGGCTGGATTTGAACTCAGGTCCTCCTTACTTCAGGGCTGGTGCTCTACCCACTGCGCCACCTAGCTGCCCCCCCAAATATTTCTTAAAAGCCACAAGTTCATGAACCTCATCTTAAGAACCCTGCCCCTGCATGAAGCATGGGCCATCCCCTAATATCTCTACCAAGTGGACATTCACCTTCTTCTAGAACCCCTCCAAAGGAGAGCTAGAGGAAGGTGGGGAGAGAAAGTTGGTTATCCTGAAAAGTGGTCCAGGGCATTTTTCTAACTGCCTTGCCTATTTATCAAATGTATGTTATTAAAAAACAAAACACCTCTAAAAATGATTATCTTAAACATTTTCAAAGCACTTATTTAACCATTAAGTATAATTCACGGAACCAGGAAGGACCATTGTTCTTGCTTTTTAATCCCTGTGCATGTATCCTTTAGCTGTGCCCATGCCAGAAATTCCTTTCAAACCTTTCCTAAGATGTCTAGTAATCCTATTCTGAACCTACTTCCCTAATTGGAGTCCTCTTTTCATTCCTTCACCTCCTTAACAACAATTTCACCTTCAACCTTTGATGGGGTTTCTTGGGAGAGGGAATGAGAGGGAAGTCTGAAATAGGAGTACAGTATATAACTATATTTTGCCTAGATTTGGGAAAAATTTGAGGGAAAAGATCCTTGGAGAAAGAGCAAAATGCATAATTATTTAAAAAAAAAGAAATAACCCACCACAAAAGTCTCCTCTTGCTTCACCTCTGGGTGCCTGACTCATCAT